TATTTTTTGAATATTTCAAAAAGTTCATTAAATATTTATTCAATATTTATTGATGATTTATTGAAAATTTTTTAAAGATTTTTTTTGAAAATTTTTTGAATTTTAAAAATCTATATTTATTTGGTATTTTTTGAATATTTCAAAAAGTTCATTAAATATTTATTCAATATTTATTGATGATTTATTGAAAATTTTTTAAAGATTTTTTTTGAAAATTTTAAAAGGTTTTATTAGATATATTTGTTCCGAATGTATTAAAGACTTTAACTAAGTTTATAAACTAGTAAGAAATAAGATTTCAATTATAACAATTTATTTTTAAAATGAAATAAATTCTATTTTCATTTTAATTAAAATTTTAAAATATGATAAATAAATGTACCTATTAAATTATTTAAAAATAAAGTAAATATGTTTTCATATATGTATCACACCCTTTTAACTGAGCAATATTCTTAGTCTCTTACCTTTATCAATATATTGAAATTCTCCTCTTTTACGAAATAATTGGGCTATATTCTTTTTTCTTTTTCTGCCCTCCTCCAATTTCGTCATTTGATTTTTATTTTTATGAGAACAAAAAAAGGCATGCCTGTTCTTAAAAGCATATATATATATATATATATATGAAAAATTACTTTGACTAATAATTCGAACACGTGTTGGATCGATCTGAACTCTTTACCATCCTTATTCTTAATTACGTATACTATCAAAAGAAAAAAAATTTAATTATACTAAAAAAAATTCAACCATGTGAAAACTATTTTTTTATGAAAGGAGAAAATGGTTTGTTGGCTTTTACTGTGCTAGTATGGAAATTTACACACAAGTGGAAAGCTGAAGGACTTTTACTGGAGATTATAAATACGGGGGTCCAGCCCTTCAATTTTGAATAATCCATCACTCCTTTGTCTGGTGAATTGTGTTCATCTTTAAGGAAATGGGAAGGTTAATAAGGTCTTTCCAAATCCTCTGCCTTTCCTTCATGTTGTTACGGTTTCGAGTCCAAAGCTCCTCACCTTCTCAATCTTCTCCAGATTCATCGCCACTTTTGTGCCGTTCTGAAGAGCGTTCTGCATTGCTTGATTTCAAAACCACTAGTTACGCCTATTGTGGTACAACAATACAAACTTGGAACGAGAGTAAAGACTGCTGCTTTTGGGAGGGCATCACATGCGACAAGATGGAAGGTCACGTGATTGGCCTCGATCTCAGCTGGAATTGTCTTAGAGCCAATCTAACTACAAATAGTAGTCTCTTCCGGCTTGAGAAATTGCAGACCCTCAACCTTGCTTACAACGATTTTAGCTTCCCCAATCTCTCTTTTGGGTTCGACCGTTGGAAGAGTTTGACATATCTTAATCTTTCAGGTACGAGATTTCATTTCTTTTTCTTTTGTTTAAAATCTCCATGCTTCTAAAACTTGGTTTCACTTCTTCTAATGTGACAAATCTTTAACCTTGCAGCTTCGGGATACATGGATGGCTCTCTCCTGTTTGATGAGATCTTCTTGCTACCGAAATTGGTTTCACTCGATCTCTCTTCTAATGACGGTTTGCTTCTTGACAACATAAAGTTTCAAATGCTTGTGCATAACTTAACAGAATTAAGGTTTCTTATCCTTGATTCTGTGAATATGTCTCTGGTTGTGCCTTCTTCCTTGCTAAACTTGACTTCTTGCTTGGAGCATTTGAGCCTTTTCTCTTCTAATTTGCAAGGAACCTTTCCAAGCCAAGTTTTTCAGCTCCCATCTCTCCAGCTTCTTGATTTAAGCTACAACTCTAATTTAAGAGGCAATTTGCCTGAGTCAAACCAGAGTAGTACCCTTGAGTATTTGAATCTTGCAAGCACAAACTTCTTAGGAGAGTTGCCTCATTCAATTGGAAATCTTAAACTCCTGAAAGAATTGTATCTTGATAGCTGCCAATTTTATGGATCCATTCCTAGATCTCTTGCAAATCTCACAGAGATAACTCAACTAGATTTTTCTTCCAACCATTTGCAAGGGCGAATACCAGATGTTTTTGGAAAAATACACAAGCTAACTGATTTGAGATTAGATGCAAACAATTTTGGTGGTGAAATACCTGCGTCAATCTCCAACCTCACCCATCTTACTTTGTTGTCACTATCATCAAATAAGCTATTAGGTCGTGTACCATCTTGGTTGTTTTCTCTGCCTTCTTTATCCTCTTTAGACCTCCAAAACAACTCCCTCACTGGACCTATTGATCATGTTGAGATGCCCAATCTCATTTTACAAAATGTCAATTTGTCCAATAATGAGATAAGTGGTTCAATTCCTAGCTTCTTCTTTGATCTTGTGCATCTTACTACAGTCAACCTTTCCTCAAATAACTTAACTGGCACCATTACACCCCATATGCTTTCAAAGCTTGTAGACCTTGAAGATCTTGACCTCTCCAATAATAATTTGCTGTCTTTGAGCAATAATGGCACTGTTGTCAACAATTCCATTCTTCCAAGCCTCCGGTCTTTAACACTCTCTTCTTGCAACATGCACAAGTTCCCAAGTTTCTTAAAGAAGGCAGAGAAATTGCAAGAATTGGATATTTCCAAGAACAAGATTTCTGGTCAAATTCATAAATGGGAAATAGAAGGGATGTCATTGTCCAAATTAGACCTTTCTTATAACTTCTTGACTGGTATAGATTTATTTGGTTTTGGAAATCTTCAATATGTTGACCTCAGATCCAACTTACTACAAGGATCACTTCCCATTCTATCAACAACTTGGCATTCCATGCAACAACTCTTCATTTCAGGGAATAATTTGACTGGCGAAATCCCTTCTTCTTATTGTAATTTTACTTCTCTTAGATTTCTAGTCTTAGCTAATAATAGCTTAGAAGGAAAAATTCCAGAATGTCTTGGAAACTTGAGTCATCTCTACATCTTGGACCTGCAGATGAATAAGTTCCATGGTAGGATTCCAAATTTATTTGTGAACAACAGTTCCTTGTTAACTCTCAGCCTAAATGGCAACAAGTTGGAAGGGATACTGCCACGGTCTTTGGTTAATTGCAGACAGTTGGAAATTCTAGATGTAGGGAACAACAACTTAAATGATACCTTTCCAGATTGGTTAGGTGTTCTTCCATTGCTAAAAGTTCTCATCCTTCGATCTAATCGATTTTATGGTGCCATCAGCAATCCTATGCCTGTATTTTACTTCCCTCAATTGACAATCATTGATGTTGCACAGAATGATTTTATGGGTCTCCTACCGAGTAACTATTTCAAAATTTTGGGAGGTATGAGAGATGTAGCTTATAAAGACAAACTCAAATACATTGGTGATGTGGAATGTTTAGCAAAGGAAGGCTGCCTAGATTTGAGTGTTTTTTATAAGGATTCTGTGAAGGTAGTAATGAAAGGGTCAGAGAGGGAGCTTGTAAGGATCTTGAAAATTTTCACAACTATAGATTTCTCAAGCAATAAATTTCATGGACCGATTCCTAACGAACTAGGAGAACTCAATTCACTTATATTACTAAACTTATCTCACAACAATCTCAATGGTCAAATCCCATCAGCATTGGGGAAATTAGCAGAACTCGAGTCATTAGATCTCTCATCAAACAAGCTTGTGGGCAGAATTCCAGAGCAATTGACAAACCTGCTGTTCCTATCAGTTTTGAATCTTTCACACAATGAACTTGTGGGCCACATACCTGAAGGCAAGCAGTTCAGTACTTTCTCAAATGATTCCTACATTGGGAACTCTGGGTTGTGTGGATTCCCATTGACAAAGAAATGCAAAGAACCAAGACCACCTTCATCACAATTTGATGAAGAAGATGATTGTATAGCAGTCTTTGAGTGGAAGTTTGCACTGGTAGGCTATGAGTGTGGACTGGTGTTGGGACTTAGTTTGGGATACATTGCCTTCATTACAGGGAAGCCATGGTGGGTAGTGAAGAAAGTGGAGAAATATCAACAGAAATTAGTTGGAAGGTGCAGCCAAAGTCATAAGTAGAGAAAAATCCAAAAACCCAACCAACGGTGTTAAGTGAGTAAGTTTCTACAACTCTCTATAATATTTGTGTTCTATATGAGTTCTAACCATAAAAATCAAGGCATGGTATATAATAGTGACACTTAATTTTTCTACTTTTACTTTATTGTATATAGGTGCAAGCAGGTGCGGAAGATCTGGCAACAGTTGCTTCTTGAGCTTCTTTCCATCTTTTTCATGTTCATTGTTGATATATAGTTGTATTGACCTGTGTGGGAATTATGGTTATGTATGAATTTGTGTTGATTTCTTTTGGATTTGATGTATCTGCTCTGTACGCAGTTCTCTTGTATTTTGTTACTATAATCTCTTTTGGTTTGGTTGCCTTTGAACGGTGCGTTTTACTGAATAAAAATGAAAATTTCTTAAAATGTGGTGTGGACCCCAATCGTTTCCTTTCACCACATTTTCTGATCAGTTGAAATTTCGAATCAGTCTCGAAGCGGAGGCAACTGAGCGATTTCGAAGTGGATTAGGAGTGCCAGCTGATGGACGGCCGAGACGTCCTCTGCTCTCTACCGAGACGCCCATTCTCTAGCCATCACCAACTCTAGACAGGTAATTTTCTTTTTGTGTTTTACATTCTGTTTTCTTGAGATAGTAACCTCTTGTATTAACGAAGAAAGCTGTGGTAATTTTCTGTGTGGAATAAATTAATGATTTTAAATGCACATGAATGGTTTGGTGGGATTTTATTGTTCTTCCTGTAGATATAGAAATCAAGAGATTGTTTTGAAGACGAGGGCATTAATTAAACAATAAACAAGAAATTAAGAGTAAATTTCTGTTGGGATTTTGTTAAAAAATATCAAGAAATTAGCTGTAGCATTAGCATATGTAAGTTCTGAGTTGGATATATTGAAGGGAGGTAATAGTGGATCATAAATTTCTCATTTGTGAACTTTTATTTAAATTCTGTTTGCTTGTACTGTATGGATGGTCAATCATACCATGTAGACATCAGTCAGTTTCATCTTTTTTTTTTTTTTTCTTAGATAAATTGAAGTTGAAGTTGTTGTTCTAGTGGTAAACACATCAATGGATACTTTTGCTTACAGATATAAGGGGTATCCTGCAGGCATCCTAAAATTAAGAGTCTGGTAAACGGATATATGACCCAAGACACATCTTCAGACTTTGTTTGACAACTTCAATTTACTGTAAGTTTGACATATCGTAATCTTTCAGGTACGAGATTTCATTTCTTTTTCTTTTGTTTAAACTCTCCATGCTTCCAAAACTGGTTTCACTTCTTCTAATGTGACAAATCTTTAACCTTGCAGCTTCAGGATTCATGGATGGCTCTCTCCTGTTTGATGAGATCTTCTTGCTACCGAAATTGGTCTCACTTGATCTCTCTGATAATTATGGTTTGCTTCTTGACAACATAAAGTTTCAAATGCTTGTGCATAACTTAAAAGAATTAAGGTTTCTTATCCTTGATTATGTGAATATGTTTATCCTTGATTATGTGAATATGTTTCTGGTTGTGCCATCTTCCTTGCTAAATTTGACTTCCTCCTTGGAGCATTTGAGCCTTAGAGGTTGTAGTTTGCAAGGAAACTTTCCAAACCTAGTTTTCCAACTTCCATCTCTCCAGCTTCTTGATATAAGCTGGAACTTTGATTTAGGAGGTAATTTGCTCAAGTCAAACCAAAGTAGTACCTTCGAGTATTTGGATCTTACAATCACAAACTTCTCAGGAGAGTTGCCTCATTCAATAGGAAATCTTAAACACCTAAAGGAATTGAATCTTGGTAGCTGCCAATTTTATGGATCAATTCCCGGATCTCTTACAAATCTTACCGAGATAACTGAACTAGATTTTTCTTCCAACCATCTGCGAGGGCAAATACCAGATATTTTTGGAAAAAAACACAAGCTAACTGATTTGAGGTTAGATGCAAACAATTTTGGTGGTGAAATTCCTGCATCAATCTTCAACCTCACCCATCTTACTTTGTTGTCACTATCATCAAATAAGCTATTAGGTCGTGTACCATCTTGGTTGTTTTCTTTGCCTTCTTTATCCTATTTAGACCTCCAAAACAACTGCCTTACCAAACCTATTGATCGTGTTGAGATGCCCAATCTCTTTTTACGAGAAGTCTATTTGTCCAATAAGGACATAAGTGATTCAATTCCTAGCTTCTTCTTTGATCTTGTGCATCTTACTAGAGTCCACCTTTCTTCAAATAACTTAACTGGCACCATTACACCTGACATGCTTTTGAAACTTGTAGACCTTGAGGATCTTGATCTTTCCAATAATAGTTTGCTGTCTTTGAGCAATAATGGCACCACTGTCAACTATTCCTTTCTGAACCTTCAGTATTTAAAATTCTCTTCTTGCAACATGCACAAGTTCCCAAGTTTCTTAAGGAAGGCAGAGAAATTGCAAGAATTGGATATTTCCAAGAACAAGATTTTTGGTCAAATTCATAAATGAGAAATAGAAGGGATGTCATTGTTTAGTTTAAACCTTTCTTTTAACTTCTTGACTGGTATAGATTTATTTGGTTTTGGAAATCTTGAAACTGTTAACCTCAGATCCAACTTACTACAAGGATCACTTCCCATTCTATCAACAACTTGGGATTCCATGCAACAACTCCTCATTTTAGAGAATAATTTGACTGGCGAAATCCCTTCTTCTTATTGTAATTTTACTTCTCTTAAAGTTCTAGTTTTAGCTAATAATAGTTTGGGAGGAAAAATTCCTGAATGTCTTCAAAACTTGAGTGATCTCAACATCTTGGATCTGCAAATGAATAAGTTCCATGGTAAGATTCCAAATTTATTTGTCAACATCAGTTCCTTGTTTACTCTCAGCCTAAATGGCAACTAGTTGGAAGGGATACTGCCACAGTCTTTGGTTAATTGCAGTTACTTGGAAATTTTAGATGTGGGGAACAACAACTTCAATGATACCTTTCCATATTGGTTAGGTGTTCTTCCAAAGCTAAAAGTTCTCATCCTTCGATCTAATCGATTTCATGGTGCCATCAGGAATTTTGTGCCCGTATTTTACTTCCCTCAGTTGAGAATCATTGATATCGTACAGAATGATTTTATGGGTCTCCTACCGAGTAACTATTTCAAAATTTTGAAAGGTATAAGACATGTAGCTCCAGCTGATAAAGTCAAATTGGAATACATTGGTGACTATGTACAATGTTTAAGAAATGAAGATGGAGTTTGCCTATAGTATGATGATATTTATAAGGATTCTATGAAGGTAGTAATGAAAGGGTTTGAGGTGGAGCTTAAAAGGATCTCGAAAATTTTCACAACTATAGATTTCTTGAGCAATCAATTTCATGGACAGATTCCTGACGAGCTAGGAGAACTCAATTCACTTTTATTGCTAAACTTATCTCACAATAGTCTCAATGGTCAAATCCCGTCATCACTAGGGAAATTAGCAAAACTTGAGTCATTAGATCTCTCATCAAACAAGCTTGAAGGCAGGATTCCAGAGCAATTGACAAAGCTGACGTTCCTATCAATTTTGAATCTTTCACACAATGAACTTGTGGGCCACATACCTGAAAGGAAGCAGTTCAGTACTTTCTCAAATGATTCCTACATTGGGAACTCTGGGTTGTGTGGATTCCCATTGACAAAGAAATGCGAAGAACCAAGACAACCTTCATCACAATTTGACGAAGAAGATGACTCTACAATAGTCTTTGAGTGGAAGTTTGCATTGGCAGGCTATGGATGTGGACTGGTCTTGGGACTTAGTCTGGGATACTTTGCCTTTACTATAGGAAAACCATGGTGGTTAGTGAAGAAAGCAGAGAAATATCAACAGAAATTAGTTGGAAGGTGCAATCGAAGTCATAAGCAAAGAAAAGCTCAAAAATCCAACCGATGCTCTTAAGTGAGTAAGTTTCTATAACTCTATAATATTTGTATTGTCATCTAAGTTTTAACCATAAAAATCAAGGCATATTATATAATAGTGAAACTTAATTTTTCTACTTTTACTTTATTTTACATAGGTGCAAGCAGGTGCAGTTGATTTTCTACTCCAGGGAATCTGGCAACAGTTGCTTCTTGAGTCTGTTTCCACCTTTTTCATGTTCATTGTTGATATATAGTTGTGTTGACGTGTGTGTGAATTATGGTTATGTATTTTCTTCTCTTGCTTTGTGTAATTAAGAGGGTTGGGTGAGGGATGATCCCAACCTCCTTTGCTCTCTGAAGGCCCACCCTCTAGCCATTGCCAAATCAAGTCTTATTCTTTGACTGGTGATCTAATACATAGGCAGGTAATTTTCTTTTGGTGTTCTCCTTTTCTTTTGTTGAGATATTAACTTCTGTCTTAGTGGGGAACGTTGTAATTTTCTTTGTGGATTAAATTAATGTGTTTTGCCTTACCATTTAAAGTGAAAAATTTTAGATATTTTTATGCTGCAAATGCCAAGGTAGAGACAAGATGTTTCTGTCTCTTAAAAACAACATATGTAAGTTAGCATTAACATATGTAAGTTCCAGGTCACATTTGTAAACTTTTATTTAAATTCTAAGATGTAGACATTGTATTCATGGCTAATCAGTGTAGGTCATACCACAAAGTAGAGATCATTCAATTTGATTTTATTTTGTTGAGATGAGTTGGAGTTAAATTTGTAGTTCTTTTTGTGAACTCGTCAATGGATATTTCTGTTGTCATGGTTGAAGTAATTACTTGTTTTAATTGCTCTGATATTCAGGTACTTATTTTGCAGTCAAAGGCTTAGAGTTATTCTTGAATTGAAACATGAAAAATGTCTTTACCTGTTATTGCCATTGATATTGCGTTGTCTTATGAATTATTTCTTGTATTTGATGAGAAGCCAAGATAAAGAACGTTGTGTCTGACGGATATTTTTCTTTTCGTGTCACATTCCTGAAGGGAAGGCACTTCATTTACGAAGAATGTAAACTATTCCATTAAGAAAATTGTGTAACAATATGAATTTATTGTAAGTTCTATTTAACAGTCTGTTTCACTAAGGTCAAGCACTTGAATTTGTTTAGCGACCTCAATTTACTATAAGTTCTATTTGCGCCATTTCTAATTTCTCTGCTAGCTGCATTGTATTATGTCCTAGACCCAGTTTCTTGCTTTTTCTTTCTCATTTTGCTTTGTGCACTCATCAAAACTTTGTATTACTTTGGGCCTGGATTAACTAATAAAGATTTTTTATTGTTATGAGATTCAGTTAATTAAAGTGTAATGGAAATTGGGAAAGTAGTTAATGTAGGTCTTATGTGTTTTTGTTATATTCAGGCGTCCAAGGTGATTGTGATATTGTGTGTCTCTATCTACACATCCTGGATGCTATTGCTTTTTAAATCTTATTTGCCATTCAGACTTTATTGGATTGGCACTCTTCTTTTAGTTGTCTTAATTCTTTTTTGTTCTTTTTGAACGCCTCTTGAATCTTTTATTGATTTCATCACAGTTTCTCCTTTGATATTTTTGGTGGATCACTACAGAAATGTGGAAAACTCACCTTGTCACAGAATGGTACATTGTCTGCCATAATTAGTTCACTTGGCTGTTATATTGCTGCTGTTTAGACACTTTGACACTTTTTGGTGCTACAGCAGAAGGTTTGTTCAGTTCGAATCATTTCAAATATCTTTAAAATATGGAGCTCTCTTAACTGAATAATGAATTCCACTTACTCTTTTAAGGATATAATGACTCAAGCTGCTTGTTCGTAGGGATGCTAATCAACAGAGGTTGTCTGGGTGTAGTTCCTTTTGGAACCAACAAAGAATGACTGTTGCCTCGGAAAGAAATTCTTTAGGTATGCCATAATCTTTAAGATAAGTTTAGATTGGAGAAAGAAGTCTATAGATTCAAATCAATTTTCTTTTAAATATAATGTGCAAATTTGACACCCACTGGATTTATTGACTAGGAATTTTAGTATGGAAATGGGACACCGCTAGTTTACCCACCGAGTGCTTTTATTAGTGTTTACACTTAAAATAAACCAATAGGGTAAGGCCACATGTCAAGGTAAAGCCCAATTATTAAGAAAATCAATGGGCTGGATTTGGGCTGGGCTGGCTTCCAATT